ATTGGTGGTCATAAAGAACACTGAGTTTTTCCCCATGCCAACCTTCTCATATTAAGCTTAAGACACGATTACTTCATTATGAGTGCAGAATTCATTATGAAATCAGATCAGGGGTAGAGAATTAGGACTCATGTTCCACCCAATATGCGAAGGTTTAGTCTCGTAGATCGGACATCAGTCGGTCATTCGTACATCAACTGGCCTTTACTCTAATAAAATCTCTATTAAATATGTTTAAATTATTTTATTTTAGAAAGATGATATTCCTATGAAGATGTTCATTCAGGCACTGGAAATTGCGCTTGATAAACGCATCGAGGACTCCAGTTCATTTGATGCCAAAGATAGTACCATATCTGGTATTAGAGAACCGAGTTCAGCAAAAAACTCTAACCCTCTCCTATCCTCGATTACTTCTTACAATTCGTTTTTACGGAATTTTGACGTTTGAAAAAAACTGTACTGGACTGTTTTTGACTGCTACCTGTTTTGTTTCTATTATGCTGTATCTTAACTTATTGAAGTTATTGCATATTAATTTTTCAGTTACTTTTAAATGCACTGATTTTTTTAATGAGTTTATATAACCATCATTTGTTTAGTAAAACTTTCCTCTGTAAACCAATTCATTTGTATTTAAATGGTAGTGAGAAATACGGAATTTTTCTCTCATTTAGACTTCAAATATATGTTTACAACTCCGCAGTTGCCGGTCCCAAGCCCGGATGAGAAAGGAGTAGGGTTGGCGACCGTGGCAAGTCTCCGTAAAATTCAGCCACCTGTCATCATGGTATTGACGCCATCGAAAATTATACCGGCTCGGTCGTCGCCCGGGTTACCAAGGGCCGCTCAGGCTGTTAGGAGACTGAGGCAGACTGCTAAAAGTCGGCGATCACAACCTGCTCATTGCCTTTTGCCAGCCGGGGGCGTGGCAGCACAACGACGCCTGACGAAGACCGACGGAACGACGACGAAGATACCAGTCAGTAACGGAGTCACTACCCGTTTCGAACGGAGGAGGCAGACAAAGCGATGCCATTACAGCACACCAGAAAAGGCTCCACAAGAATAACACCACCAATGGGTGCTCACAGTAGGAAATTAGAACATATCCTCACTCAGAGGAAAAAAAACAGGAATTAGTCGATGAGGCA